AATAAAATTTATTTTGTTAATAATTTTATATTAATAAAAAACAAAAAAAAATATAAAAAAACCATTATTATTTTTAAAAAACCAAAAGGAATTATTCAAAAAAAAATTATCAGAAACAAAAACTCAAAATAAAAAGAAAAGAAAGGAGAAAAATATGGAATATTTATTTACCCTCAGAGATCTTGGTGAAATAAATCATCAAAAGATGAATCAGACCAAATATTTTCCATCATTGGGTAAATTAATATTCAATAAAATATTAGTTTTTAAAGAATAGTCACTCAGAAGTCAACATTAATATCCACATAGGTAAATATCAACGATGTTCAGAGGATTGGATAAAAAGCTTCATCACAGTGACATAATAATAATAAACGTAGATATTCATTTAAATATTCTAGGGTTTAAATATATCTTAATTTAATTTTATTATTTAATATAATTTATTTAACTTCTTTTTTATAGTTTAGATTTAATAATAAAAAGTTATATTTTTTCGTTTTTTTGAAGAAATGAAAAGGAAAAAGATAAACCCTTTGAACTTGAAATTTGTAAAGGAGAGCTCAAATGGTTTGTTTCTTTCTTCTTTTGTATTTTCTCTTATCTTTTTGTTGTAGTATTTGGTTTATGGTATTTATTTAATAGGCTACTGTTACTTCAGAATCAGAATTCCAACACATGCTCCGTGTTTGTAACACCAATCTTGATGGTCGTAGAAAAGTTCCATATGCTCTCACTGGAATTAAGGGATGTGGAAGAAGATATGCTTACCTTGTTTGTAAAAGAGCTGGTATTGATGTCAATAAGAGAGCTGGTCTTATGACACCAGCAGAAATTGAAAAGATTGTTGATATTCTTAACAATCCACTTAACTATAAAATCCCAGTTTGGTTCTTGAACAGACAAAAAGATAATAAAGATGGTAAAGATTCTCAACTTATTGCTAATGCTGTTGAAACTAGACTTAGAGAAGATATTGAAGCTCTTAAGAAAATGAGAGCACATAGAGGTCTTAGACATTACTGGGGATTGAGAGTTAGAGGTCAACATACTAAGACCACTGGAAGAAGAGGAAGAACTGTTGGAGTTTCCAGAACTAAAGGAGCTTAATAAAAGTGAATTTTTTATGTTATTAGTTTTTATTTTTAGTATATTACAAAACTCATCGAAATGTATGAAACACGTCATCAGAACAATTGTCTTAATTTGCTGTATCTAAAAACTTTATTTTATTATTTACAATGAAAACATTTATTTTACTTCTGTTTATTGTTTTAAATATTTATGCTATTACTCCTGAACAAGAAGAGATTATCGATGAGTTGAAAGGTGAACAAAAAAGACAAGTTGATGCAATTGCTGATGAAGAACAACCATCTTCTACTGCTCTTATTCAACAAGAACCTGGTCAAAAATCTTATGCTTCATATTTTAATAAAATGATGAAAGTTACTAAAGAAAAGGGTAAACATAATAAGCAAAAACATCCAGTAAGAGTACAATCAATATATTCTAAGCCTATTAAAAAAAGTATGAAAAAAGTTGGACATGTTAGTGATGAACTTCATGGTAATTTCTTTGGTAGAAATGGATATAACTATGAGCATACACGAAAGGTTAATAAAGGAAATATGAGAAGTTATAGCAAAAGTTCAGTAATGTATTACACATCATCTCCAGAAGACAAAAAGAATTTTGGTCAACTTCCAGGATTTTTTAAAAATAAGGAAGGAGATATGTGGTTTTAAATAAATTGTCTTAATTTGACTTATTTTTTATTGAATTTTTTTATTAAAACTAAAAAAATTCATATTATGTTAAATCAGATGAAAAGTCTAATTCCTTTATTTCTTTTTATTTCTTTTTCTATTGGTTCAATTTTACCAGAAAGAAGACGATTAGTTAAGCAGTTACTGAATGGTTATAATAACCAAATTGATTCTCAAATTAAACAAAATAAAAAATTAATGAACTCTTTGTCTGAAGGTGCTTTAAAAGGTGATCCATATCCTTTATACTTAAAACATGTATTTAATGTTGAACAACAAAGAATGAATAGGTTAGCTATGTATCTTAAAACACGAAAATCTTCTCCATTTAATTATTTACAAATTAATCATACTCCAATTCGTGATAAACCTTCAACAGATCCAATAAATAAAATTTGTGACTATTACAATGGTGAATATAATGGGCCTAATGGTTATTTATACAAACATAAACGGGCTATTCAAAAAGCTGCTTTAAAAGGATTTAGTATCAATGTACCTTCAATTAAAAATTATGAAGGACGACTTGAAGCACCTTCATTGATTCAAAAAAATCCTGCAAATGATGGATATTAATTGTTGTTAATTTTTGTTTGATATATTTTTTATTAAAGAATATTTTATTAGAATTAAAAAGGAGTTTAATTATTTTTTTCTTGGGTTGTTAGTTCTTGGTCGTTTGAAGGTTCTTGATTATTTGATATTGGAATAACTTCAGTCTCTTCTTCTATTTTCTTTTGTATTTGATAAGGTTCAGACATATTATTAAAAGAAGTTGATTGTTCCATAGTACTGTTAGTTTGGCATTCTTTTATATCACGTTTTTCTTGATATTCTTCATTAGATTCATTATCCATTGAAACCTTCTTTTCAATTAAACCAATTAATGATTTGTATCTTGATTCAACAAAGGCTATTTGTTCTTGTTCTGTTTTTATACCAAATTTTATCATACTATTTTGAAGAACAGGATTCTTAATCCATACCTTAGGACATTCTAAACCAATTCTTTTAATTTCTTCTAATAATATTAAATCACAAGTACTATCCCATGGATTTTGTTTATCTTCTTCATAAATCTCTTCCATTTTATTTTGCATATTAATAACCATTTCAAAAATCTTTCTATATACCAAGTCATTTGTTTTAATTTTTTCACTAACAGCGCTCATTGTCAATTCTTTTATTATTTGTTCAGAATATAATTCAACATCTATTGTATATTTATTAAATATTATCATATTTTCTTCATCAATTTTCATTCCAAATCTAAGTAAATAACAAATAATTGTTTTACTTATTTTATCTGTTTCATTGTCATCAAATTTTTCTTTTAATTTTTCTTGTATTTTTTTCATTAATTGTTTTGTTTCTTCATCTAATACAAATGAAACATTTTCTTCTTTTAATTCATTTAATTTTTTTAGTTTTACTTCATTTAAAAATGTTTCAATTCTTCTTTTTCTTTCTTCTTTATTTGTATCTTTTATATCAACATCATCAACTCTTCTATTTTTTCTTTCAACCTTCTTAGTTTTATTTTCTTTATTTTTCCTTTCTTCTATGCTTTTCATTTCTTTTTCTTTTGCTTCATTAAATTCTTTAATTTCTTCTTCAGTTCCTAATTTAATTACTTTTGTTTTTTCTGTTGTTGAAATAATTTCATTAATTAATTGGTCTACAGTTATCATTGTTGTAGATAATATTGAAAAATATTGTTCTTTAGTTATAATTGATGAAGCTCTTGAAGCAACTGCAATAGTTTCATCTATAGTACCAGTAATAACAAAATATAACACTTTAACATTTTTTGTTGTTCCAACTCTCATTCTTTGTTTAATCTCTTCAATTTTATCTTCTGTATAATCACTGTCTAATAAAACAACATAATCTGATCCAGAAAGGTCAACTCCTTGAGAATTACAATTTGTATCAACCAATATTTTAGTAGATTCATTTTTATTAAATTCTTCACACATACGTTTACTTTGACTTATTTCATTATCCCATCCAATTAATTCACATTTAATTAATGGTTTTAAAGCTTCAAGTAATTGAGGAATTGGACTTAATATTGCTACTTTTTTCTTTACTTCAACAAGGAAATTAACTATCTTTTGAACATGAGTCATTTTAACCCCTTTAATACCAATAGAATAAGAAGATATACTTGGAAATAATAATACTCTTCTCATATCCTCTATTGAAACATCTTCGCATCCTTTAACTTCTTCTTCTGTTTGAAGGTATGCAGCAGTTTGTTTTTGTTGCATTTTTATTAAAATAAAAATACTACTAATTTTTGGTTCTTCATATTGTGGTATTTCAATTATTTTAATGTCTCCTTTTCCTTTAATTTTCATTAAGAATTTAATTTTATTATAAACTTTTTCATCATCAGTTATTCCAATAACATGATCACATAAACTAATTCTAGTACTTTTAATACTTACATGATTTGGTTCTTGAATATCAATTATTCCATACTTGAAATGAGCAGTTTTTTTAAATATGAATGACTTGCATGAAAATACAACAATCTGTGGTTTAATATTACTATTTTCATCATATAATTCCATATCAATTACTGACTTTACATTTTCATCACGTGGAAAATGATCAATAAAAGTTAATGGAACACCAGGAAATAGATATGGTAATTGATTTTTATAATAATCCATTCTCTTTTCAGTACACATAATCAGACATGATACCCCATTCTCTGACTGACACATTTGTTCTGATATAAATGCTAATACACTTGTCCTTTTACCAAATCCACCAGAAATAATAATATCATTATTATCATCAATACATTTTTTTATTTCATCTATAGTTTTTTGTTGGTATTCATTTAATTCTAATGGAAATGGTTCACTTTCAAATTTCCATCTTTGGAGTAAACTTTTATTTCTTTCTTTTTCAAAGAATGAACTTAATTCATCACTAAGAAATAGTTCTTTTCCTAACCATTTAACTCTATACATAAGAATTGGTAATCCATTTTCATCTTTTTGAGGTAATTCTAATATAATTTTTTCCGGTACTAAGTCATTAGCTGGTACTGCCTCTTCGGTTAATGGAAATACTTCTTTTAATATATGTTCTGTTTTTACTGAAGAGTCTGTTTGTGGTAAAGTCCATCTCTTATTAAATTTCTCAATAAGTCCACGTCTATCAATTTTTTTAGTTGCTTCTGACTCAAGAATCCATGTAGATTCTACAATTGAAAAGTTTTGCCATTTAACAAGATACATAGGCTGTTCTGGATAATTTTTAAAGAACAACTCTTTTGATGGTACAAAATATTTAAATGTTTTTTGTAATGAAACAACCGATGACCCTGGAACATATTTTGTTAATACTCTTTGAATTTGTGTAGAACTTTCTTCTTCATTCTCATTTCTTTCTGTCTTTTTCTTTTGGGTTTTATTTCTTCTTTCTTTTTTTACAGTTTTAGGTTTAGGAGTTTCAGTTGTTTTCTTTGACTCTTTTACTTGTTTTGTATTATCATCATCATTCATTATAAATTTTTCAATAAGATGTTCTGTTTGTTCATCTTTTGGGTGGAGCGTTTTCTTTAAAATGATGTATTCATACTTAGTGCCATCTTTTTCAACTGTTCGAGTATCAATGATTAACTTCTCAATCCTGTCCATTCTATTGATAATAAGATTTGAATCTTTCTTTATCTCTTTTCCTCTTTTCTTTGTAAAAATTGGAAAACCCTTTTTTTATTTTCAAACCAAAAATCAAAAAAAAATTTATTGGTTTAGTCATCAAGAAAATCATTCACAAATTTTAATAAAGCTCCAATAAATTTCCCTACTACTCTCACAGTTTTTTCAACAAAGTTCATTGGAGTTGCTTTATAGTCTTCTGTTTTACATATGCTCTTTTGAATCTTTTTAATTAATTTTCTATTTTCTAAAATATCAACATGTCCAGCTCCTTCAATTTCTAAAATATCAGCTCCCATTTCTTTACATAACTTAAGACTTTCTTTTTGAACTGTTCCATCTCCTTCTTTATTAGTTTCAATTTTTAATAACGTGAAATTAGATGAATAAACTAATTGACTCTCTGTTTTCTTCTCACTTCCAAAAACACATAAATGTTCCCAATGTTTCGTCTTCTTTTTATAATCAACTTCTGTTGTTTTAATAAGTTTCTCAGCAAATGATGGTAGAATAGAACCTGATAATTTTTTAATTAACTCTTTGGTTGCAGTAGCATCATATTTAGTACCATTAATTTTTAAGACTTTTTTATTGAAATTTAATGAACTTGGAATCATACCATATGAAGACTCAAATGATCTAATAGCTTTAAGGAAAAAGTCACTTGGTAAAATAATTTCTGGAAGATCAAGACTATCACCGGAAAGTAATGCCCTAACTGCTTTAATTGATCCAGCCCATGGTGTGGATATTGTAATGACCTTAGATATATATGTATCAATCCATTTTTGTGGCATACTTTCTAAGAAGTTATGAATAATCAAACCACCCATAGAATGTCCAATTAATACTGCTTTATTTTCACTATTTTTCACTGTAGACTCAATTCGTTTAACCAAATCCTTTTTCCAAGAGTCTGATTGAGAAATAAATCTCCAATCAAATGCAGCAGCTTGAAGGTCTTCAGTATCAATATATCCCATCATTTCTAAATTATCAACAATATCGGCATAAACTCGAACTAATTGTGAAAACAATGAATCTTTTGGTGTAAGAAATGCAACTCCACTAACTGAAGTATTGGCTGGATAATAAGTATTAACGCCCTTCATATTTTCCATTGTTTGTGTTTTATTGTTATAATTTAAAGTTAGGTATTCAGGAATACAACCTCTCGTAAGTGGGTTAAGAAGGTCTGAAGAAATCCAAAGTGGTATATCAGATACATGTCTTGGACAATATTCTGGAAGTTCCTCAGTAGCAGGAATATTTAAATTTGCATTTATTGTACTTCCAAGCATTCCATTAAATAAAAATACTGGTCTTCTTTGGTCACAGTATTTAACTTTTTTTCGTTCGTGTTTACTTAAAGCCACACTAAATAGTGAAATGAGAAGTAATAAAAATTTCATCAAATAAAATTATAAAAATCTAGATTATATATTGTTTTTCTATTGTCAAAAACCTGATAAATGACAGATACAAGACAATTTCTTTTTTTTATTTAATTTTGTTTTATTAATTTTTTCATGTTCTAAAAAAATTACATGACTTATAAATTAATAAATGAAATTAACTATACTATTTAATAAAAATTATAAAATTTAATTTTTAAATAATAATCAATTAATTAAGTAT